AGTGCCTTTATCTTTCCATGCATCTTTATCAGCAGGATCACTTGACTGGACATATCAAAAGAAGAAAATAAATAGATTTACTAGTGAGAATGTTGGAACAAACACCATGTATCAGGTGAAGCAAAAGGCAAAGCAAAGACATATCAATCAAAATAAAAAACCATTTCAATGCATCAATTAACAACAAAACCAAGCCATTGGTAATGTGTGCCCATCAACAGAACACCATCCACAGCCAGCGAATAATGAAGCCAAAGATGGAATGGCTTGACATAAATACAAATAAAGTTTTTGTGAATTGGTGCAGGACTACATCTCATAAACTAGTTTTCATTGAATTCTTGCATAACATAAGCTCATGCATACACCAACATAGACCACACAATACATATACACAAGCACAGGTACATATGCAGGCAAGTATGTGTATGGATGCTGTACAGACAAGCCCGCAAATCTAATTGATGCCAAGTGACACATGGCAGATGTCTATTACCATTTTCCTAACCATATGCCTCAATGGATTAGCAACCTAATTTATGCATCAGAGCTAGTGATCTATACAGCATATAAACATTCACATGTCTTAAGCCAAGATATACATCCCCATAATTCCATTGAGACCACATAAGAACATAATCTAGTCATCAAACCTTTGCTACAAATATTTTCTCTTTGGCCTACGATGACACAGCAGATACTTCATAAGTTGCAAAGCTGAAAACAAAATCTGATGATTTTTTTGAAAGGAAACAAAAGTATTTACTACTGTGAAAAAATAAAAATAAAACCACAAACAGTTGATCAGGGCAACAGAATCTGAGGATAGAAGCAACTATTTCAATAATTGCAAAACTTAAATAGTCAAGATTCCCAACTGGTTGGAATATCAACTCATCTGTAGCCAAATCCCTAATTTGTTGTGCAAATGCACTATGTGTCACTTTGATACACATTCAAGCATTGCCTCTGCATTAATTAAAACCGTTCATTTAATATCTACTACAATTCAAAACAACCTCGTTAAGCTATAAAATGAGCATTTAACTTGATTCAAATATGAAAATGGAAATCTTCATAGTTATATGCAAGTTAAAATGCATGTAGCAATCTGATACATAATACAATCACACATCAAATACTACCTCTAGAAAGATATGTATCACTCGTAAAGTAAAATCTCTAACCACGCAGAAGTAGCAGTAAAATTAATTTTCCTACTATTAAAATACGGGTAAAGCACATATGCTAAAGCAGAATGAGGAAAAAACGAAAAAAGTTTCATTAAAATACTGTTCCAACAAGCATAACCTTGTATAAATTTTCTTCAACAAATACCTTTACATAAAGTTTGCACTTGACTTCATGGACTACAACAATGCCTTTCTCTTCAGACTTTTTCACTGATGGGCTGCTAGGCTGTGGTAATTCATCTGCTGGTGATACATAAAGAGGGATTAATACGTATGTGAAAGGAGATAAGTGATTTCAGGTCATAAAGAAACAAAAATAAATATATTTTTTCCTTCATCAAACCCCTGCTCCCCAAGCACAATGACAAATTAAACAAATCCTCACATTCTTTTAAGATGTAGCAAAATAACCTTCTCTATGAAATTCGGAAACTAATCTACATGCCAGAGGCACTGTGCCTAAACAATAAAAGGAAACAGTTGACAGAATTCTATTACAAACCTGCCCATTTTGATCAACAAGCCAAAAGCTTAACACTTCCCTTTACATCATGTTGATACAAACGATTAAGATAGCCAACTTACTAAGTGCATTTGTGAACTTAAGAACAGAACAAGATGAATCAAATAAATCACATGCAAGTGAGCATGGAAATGCATGAAAGGTTTAGAAGTAATGACTTAAACAGAGTGCGATGACAAGAATGAAAAAAACAATAAGTCTTTTATCTCACCGTCGTCAACATTATTTGAAACATTATGGTTCATGAAAACTGAGCTTTGATTTCCTGAAACAGAAATATAAAAATAACATATTAGAAATCACATCAATCTCCGAAAAGTAGCATTTAAATTCAATACTTAAAAAACCAGATTACCAATATCAGTTCTTATCAAAAAATCATCATTTT